GCTCTCTGCAACCACTGGCTTGCTGCCGGATGGACTTGCTCGGCTTTCTCGGCCCACACCGTCACTTGAATCATGCCTGAGCCGTCGGCCACGAGCAGATTGCACACCGACTTCGCTTCTTTCTTGCCGCGGTTCTGAACTTCCGCCGTGTGGGTGCTTTCATCCACCAGCAGCAGGTAGCCCTTCGCGGTCACTTCGTCTCGCACCTGCAACTGGTGCAGCTGCGCTACTGTGTCCACCTCTGCCGCAGCCGGTCGGCGGGCCCCGCTCTTCTGGCGGCGTTTCATTATCTGGGCAAAGTACTACAAGTCTCAAATCAGAAATAGGCCACTTCGGATGATTCTCCCTATAACACACACTGTAACATTGTGACCTCGTAGGGAGGTTGCTAACATTTACCCAAATCATATCCATATCATTTTTGTTTGTATGATTTATATTCCCATCATATCCCCATGATATCCCTCTTATTCCCATTAGATTCCCAGTATTTGCCACCATGTTTGTCAGTTAAATCCCCAATTACTTGAAATCCCACATGTTCAAGGCATCCCCCACATAGATTCCACATTCATGCCACATTAAATTAACATAGATTCAACTTTTTTCAGTTAAATCCCTTACAGATGTAGGCCACGGCCTTGTGCGGTACTATTGGTAATTACATTTGACTGCGGGATTGGAGGGTATCTGAATCTCTTGATCCCAAGGCTATGCTGAACTCAGACGAATGGGTCACAAACATATAGGATTGACAGCCTCATTTATGGCCAGTTCAATAGGGAACATGATCATAAAAAACATCAACTGCTTGGTGGTTTCAAGACCCCGAAAAATCATCAGCTGTTTCCATAACGGAACAAAAAGAAACACATTTTAAAATCCATAACCAGATCACAATTGGTTATACACCCATGTGATATTCCCGTTTTGGTTGGTTAAACCATGAATATTTCCATTTTGAAAGAATCATTTGGAGTCCCCCAAATTAAACTCAGACTCAGCTGGATGGAACGATCAGTGGCAATGATCCAGAGAAATAAAATGGATTGACATCCTCCTGTGCCATCGTAGCAGTTGGAAATTCATCACTTATTTCGATGGTCTTCCCAACGGTCAACCTCCATTTAGTTCGAGGATTTTCCAGCAAGTCACGTTTGATTAGTAGAGGGTATCCTAAGTAAGGCCCCTCCAATATCCTCTGAATCTAGCATACAGATTGTTTATATGTTTTAGAAAAATCTTGCAGAAGGGCAAACCAAATTCTCCAGGCAATGGCCATTCTCCGTTGAGGTATCCAGCTGTACCCAAATCCTAGGGATGGCCCGTAACACACCTTGCTGCTAACTCACACAGTCAATCTTTCGTGCAATATAAGTTTTGCATTCCCCAAAAACCATTGGTTTTAATGTTTTTTCCAAAAACTATACCCAAAATATTGGGGATCTTTATAATCATCATCGCAATCATAACCCACAATGGGAATTTAATTGAGCCAACCGTTTTTGAAAAGCACATGGTGTATTCCAAATGCACCAGCCATTGATGTCCGCCACAAAATGCCCAAAAATGCGCCTTTGCATCTCAGTACCGACGATGCCACCGATGCACTCCTAAGGGCCGGACCGGACATCATTTTGTGGGGTTTGGAGCATCCGCTTGGGATATTTTGGGATCACCCTGCAAGTTTGCTTCCTGGCAGAATGGCGCCCATTTCCATTTCGTTGCATCTTCCTCCCTGTCATGTCCCAATAGCAAAATCGCAGAAAAATAGCACATAAATTTGTGTCAAAAGAACCTTTGGTCTTTCAAATTAACGCATTGATTTCAGGGAAACCTACGGGAAACCGACGGTTTTTCTCTTCCATCGTAGGGACTAATAAAAAACCCGTCGCAGCGCGGCGCTGCGGCGCCCCCGTTCTTCGGTGGTGCGGCTAGGTGGCGCCGTGCGCGATACCCACTCGACAGCTGACGCTCCAACCTGCGTCCATCAAGCAGGTGTGATCAGACGATGAGACCCAGGAAGATATCTATATATTTATCTATTTATATATCGCATTCCATATATGATTAATATCCCTGAAAGAAAAATGGGTAAATGATATGCAATGTATTAAAAACAAATATACCTACGTCCTAGTAATATTGATTGTTTAGAAACCCGCTTGTTGGCCCACGTTTTGCACATTTTTTTAAATATCTAAGGCCACCCATCATTTTGTCGTTTCCCAAAAGACTTCAGTTTTGGGGATGGGTTGACAGGCCAAAAATCATTCCAATCATGCCTCTATAAGCCGTGTCCATACACAAAGAGTTGAAACGTTTATATTTCGTAATCATTCTAGATAAATAAAACACAATGTATATACGTATATAACTATACCATTAGTGACTAGTTAAATGTACAATCCCAGATTGGGAAAAACATATCCGAAATCAATCATTATATTACCTGTAGTATATAGCAATCTCAGAAATAAATCACCCTCCAACTAACATAGACCCTGCCATGCCATGAGTTTTGGGGGGTGGAGCTCTTAGGTGGCCCGTAGTTATGAAGCCCCCGTTTCCGTTGGTGAAATCACCGTTTGCATGGCAGTTTGACTAAGGATTGGTATATTGCCCCAGAAGCAACAACAAGAACTTCGATCCTGGGCCTCGCTGGGCGGACCAGCTGTGAACTTCGCTGACCTCAACTGACTGGAGGGGATTCTACCTTCCTTGATAAGAAATAAAGGGGAAGACGTAAACACTTGGGATTTCACCAACAATGGTGAGCCAACACTAGGGGAAAGTATGGCTTGAACAAGACATTACTTAAAACAAGAGAAGTGAGGCCAGCCAAAGTGACTGCTGCAGCTGTGCGTGTGGCGCGCATTGGATGACGGGCATGCCGTGCAAGGGCACATGCATTGTCGTAGAAGACGTACTCCAAGTTCTCTTCTACATGTTTGCCACTGCGACCTTCGGGCTGGCGCTTCACGAGATCATCCCACATGGCCTGCTCCAGTTGCCTCAGGGTGCGGCCTGGCTGATAGTCTTATTTGATGTGCTGGAAGGTGGTTCCTTCATAATCCTCTTGAAGTAATGTCAAGTTAGGATTGTAGTATCAGACCGAAACTTAGAATATGTTTTTGGAAACGCAACAAAAGTACCCGTTTAGCGCGAAGTACCCGTAGCGCAAGATTCGGCAAGATTTTTTTTGTGCTAATCTTCACAATTTGCCGCATATATGCATCGAAATGGCTTTTTCGGTACTTTTACGAGTACTTTTGGGATTTTTTGGTGAATGTAGGAGCAAGGGGACTTAGAATATCGCCGCAACATGGTTTGGAAGATGTTGCTGTTGTTTTGGTGATTTATGTTAATCTTCCCAATTTGCCTTGCAAATGCCAGAAGAAACTCGCCTTGGCCATAGACCTGGGTAAGGAACTCAGTATCAGCCAAGGGGTTGCCCCACAGACTCGCCCGCAAGGCAATGTAGAAACCACAAGGCCGCCGTATTTGCGGTGTGGTTGGATGTTCGCCTTGTCGATGCAGGGTTGGGGTTCAAGAACCACAGTTTGGGGTCAAACATTATGGAGAGGCAAGGCACCTGATTAAACATGTGGTTAGTGAACTTTAGCGAGACAGGAGCGATGCTCGGAGGATTTTAGCGAGGCAACAGCGTTTTTCTTCACTGCTACCCTACAAAAATCCACAAATAATGATTCGTAGTGGGATATCGGGGGCGCCTCTTTCTATGCCGTCAGCAAAACAAGGTGGCGGAAGTTTCAAAAATAGGAAACCTTTAGGAACGGTTGGTTGTTGTGACTCACGGATGGCAGGGCGAATCCACTGATGGACCGAAAGGTGGTTGGAGTTGTGCTTTTTGGAGTGGTTGCAATGGTTGCAGCGGTCGCCTCACCCACAACTCCTGGATGTAGTGTGGTGTAGCGCAGTAGTTGTAGTTGTAGTTGTAGTTGTAGTGGTAGTGGTAGTTGTAGTTGTAGTGGTGATGTTGTTGAAGTTGTTGAAGTTGTAATGTTGTAGTTGTGGTTGTGGTTGTAGTCGTAGTTGTAGTGTAGTTGAAGTTGTACTTGTCTTAATTGTAGTATTTGTAGCAATGGTGTAGCGCAGTAGTTGTAGTTGTAGGTGTAGTTGTAGTGTAGTGGAGTTGTAGTTGTAAGTTGTCGTTGTAATGTAGTGTAATTAATGTAGTGTAGTTGCAGTTGCAGTTGTGGTTGTGGTGTGGTGTAACTAGTGTAGTGTATTGTAGTGTACTGTAGCGTGGTAGAGTGTAGTGTGGTCTAGTGTATTGTTGCGTAAACTAGTGTAGTTGTAGTTGTAGTGTAGTGCCGTGTAGTGCAATGTAGTGGTAGTTGCAGTTGTAGTGTAATGTAATGTACTTAGTGTAGTGTAGTGTTGTGTAATGTAGTGTAGTTCTAGTTGTATTTGCATTTGTAGCTGTAATGTACTGCAGTTTAATTAGTGTATTGTTGTGTAACGCAGTGTAGCTGTCATTGTTGTTGTGGCTGTGGTCGTGGTGGTGGTGGTGGTAGTAGTAGTAGTGGTGGTGGTGGTGGTGGTAGTGGTAGTGGTGGTAGTGGTAGTAGTCGTAGTAGTGGTAGGTAGTAGGCAGTAGGCAGTAGGCAGTAGGCAGTAGGCAGTAGGCAGTAGGCAGTAGGCAGTAGGCAGTAGGCAGTAGGCAGTAGGTAGTAGGTAGTAGGTAGTAGGTAGTAGGTAGTAGGTAGTAGGTAGTAGTTAGTAGTTAGTAGTTAGTAGTTAGTAGTTAGTAGTAGTACTAGTAGTAGTAGTAGTACTAGTAGTAGTAGTAGTAGTAGTAGTAGTAGTAGTAGTAGTAGTAGTAGTAGTAGTAGTAGTAGTAGTAGGAGTAGCAGTAGCAGTAGCAGTAGCAGAAGCACCAGCAGCAGGAGGAGGAGGAGCAGGAGCAGGAGGAGGAGGAGGAGCAGGAGCAGGAGCAGGAGGAGGAGGAGGAGGAGCAGGAGCAGGAGCAGGAGGAGGAGGAGTAGTAGTAGTAGTATGGGGCATTTGAAGAGGGTCTGCAAAGATGCATTACTCTTTCTCTTCTACTCTTCTTTCTTCTAATCTTTCTCTTCTCTCTGCCTCTTCCCTGCTCTGCTTTTCATCTGTCCATATTGTCGGAAGTTTGACTTCCAAACTTCCTTCGATTATATATATATATATGTACATACATACACACACACATAATATATATATATATACATAATTATATATTTACATAAAAAAATCGATAGATAGATAGATAGATAGATAGATCAATAAATAACTAAATAACTAAATAACAAAATAAATAATACGACTATATGCCATTAATTATCCAATTTTGGTAGCAACCATAGATTTTACTCGTCATTTTCCTCACGTCCCCAAGTCGCCCCTGGGTTTCAGGACCATTTCCAAACCAAACAGAACCACCTGTGCAGCACGGGATCCAGTCCGGATTTCTTAGGATCTTTATGGACGTGTAATGGAGGTTTTTCATCGAAATTGGATGGGTAGTAGCTATAGTTAATGGGCATTTCATGGGAATGGATATCGACACTGGGGATTTCCATGGGACACATTTGGGATGTGAGGCCACTCGGCCACTGGGATCTCGCTGAAAATGGATGTCTAAGGATGTCCATCGGAAAATGTCTCGCGCTAAATTCTCATGACGTCCATCGTGCACTTCCCTTCTTTGGGATATGTCTACGAATCATGGTGAGTCGTGATGAGTTTGGACTTTTGACATGCCATCACTTACTGCCCGCCCATTGACTACGTGACCAACCTAAGGGGGAAGGATATCCACATGCATTTTCACCACAAAAATAGGGGACATTTCAGCAAGAATATATGGGATGTAGTATGATATCATCATATTTGGGCTTGTCAGAAGATAGGGCACCCCGAATTTCAATGGACTATCATCATTTTCCCTATTAAAATTGCTTTTTTTTTGGATCCTTCATTCTCAGGCACGCCCAAATATCATATTATTGGCTAAACAAATCCCATTCAATCCCAACTAAAATCCCCATCAAATCATCATTAAACCCCATGAAATGCCATACAATCACCATCCAAACCTGGTTGGTGGTTGGGCCCTACCCCTCTGAAAAATGATGGAGTTCCTCAAATGGGATTTTCTGAAATTCCCAAGTGTTTGTGGAAAGCCATTCAAAATTCCATGGTTCCAGTCACCACCAACCAGAAACCATCATATTCTCCGGCGAAGGGTTGATTTTTGACGCAGGGGACCACAGATTTTTTGTTCAGATCAACCGCTTGGGAAAGCCCATTGGAGATGCCTGGTCGAGGAACCTAGCTGGAGACGTGCCAATACAATGTGGGGCCCCAAACAATCCGTAAGTTGGTTTATAACTTGGCTAACTATGGTTTATGGGGAATATACCCTCTGGTAAACTAACATAGCTACGGAAAACCACCGCCTTTTACAACTGGCATTCTATGCTGGATAGATATCTGCACTTAAGGTGCAGATATCGCCATCATCGCTTCACGCTGGACTTATGGTATCGCCTCGATAAAGAACATAGGGAAGACCTTGGATCACCATCTTTATGGATGAACAATGATGAACAAAAAATACCGGAACTCACCAACGAGCTGAATTCCTTGTAGATTCCCATTTGATTAGATCCTCTGTTGACCATTAGTTGAATCCCAATAACTCCGACCCAGTCACCGGTCCACCGTAATATCTGCATTATTTCACCATTGAATATCACTAGCTCCTGGTTTAACGTACCTGTGGAAAATCACAATCTTCAAACAATTTTAGTAGGTAATTCATCATAGATCATCGAACTAAACAGGCCATTTTCCATAGCTATGTTAGACCACCAGAGGGTAAATCATTTCTCGGAGTAGAATCACAATTTTTCAGTGGCTCGTCAAGAAACCCTCCACAAACTCATCCCAAGGGATCAATGGCAGTGGAGATATCATCATGGCTACCAAAAAACTTCGCAGCATGATGTATATAGAAGTTATATATATATACACATCATGCTTGATCTATATATCATCTATATAATGATGGATGGATAGACTATCTGTTTGGGTTACAACTGCGACGAGACCATCCCAGAGCACCAGCAGCTGTTGAGGCAGTTTTTTGTGGCAGTCTCACACACGTGATATACACACACACATATATATATATATATCATACGTATGTATATGTATGTGTAATATGTAATATGTACTATGTAAGATGTTTAGATGTTTTTGCAAATACAATCACATAATATATATATAGACTGTCTATTATGTGACAAAAATATGCACCATGCCACATAGAAATGGCTGGGCCATCCGGACACTGGTTGGATGGTTCTTCTGCGTCAGGGGAAGGTCTGCCTGGAGCAGGGGAGCGTCAAAAAACCATGACAGTTGAGCTGGAAAAAGTGCCATTTTCAAAAGGGCAACCATTAATAGTGGATTTTCCCATTAAACATGGTGATTTTCCATTGCTATGTTAGTTTACCAGAGGGCATCCCCAATTTTAAAATATGATTTGGTTTTTTTGGCTCAAAAACTGTCACTCGAAGATACTCGAAGTGTGGGATGGTATATGTCTGGTTATGACTAACAGTTCGCCATGGAAAGATCCACCCATTTTATAGCTAGGTAAACCATCTATTTCGATTAGGGCCATCATTTTCCATGGCAAACTGTGAATGTCATAACCAGAGGGTATATCCATCAATATCCCAGTATTATCCCATTTTTATCCCATTATCATCCCTATAAAACCATATTACACCATATTAAACCCATAGTGATTCGAATAAGCAGAGGGTATTCCCATTGGATTTTTGGATTTTTGGAGAAACAGAGCTCTCAACTGCACCGAGCTTTTGAGGGCACCTGTGGGCACCGGGCTGCACCTGTCCGGCGATGTAGGCATCCCCCACCGTCTCCACTTTGTAGACCTGGATGGCGATGTAGGCTCTCGGCCTTTGATTTCACCAAAGCTGGACGTAACCGGACGTATTGTCACCCAAAGCCTCAAAAGCACAAGCATGGTGGATGATGTTAAATAGAATCAACTATACCAGATTTACCATGGTTATACCATGGTTATACCAGTTATAATATGCATACATATGCATAAATATGCAACATATTGACATTTGCTGCATTTGCTCATCGCCAGTTCTGCTGGTTGCATCTCTGTGAATCTAAATCTAAGTATAGCTGTACATTTATGTCTGTCTGTAGCATCTCAGATTTGCATTCCCTCCCTTCCACCACATAACCCTCTACCCGGCATTGCTCGAACTGCCTGGTGTTTGTCTGTCAGGACCTCAGCTGGGAACACCCCAGCTTTTCCCAAGCCAAAAATTGACATCATGTCCCATTTTTGGAGAAAGCCGAGATGAATTTTCCATGCAAACAGATTGGACATGAGCTTCTCGTACATAGTTGATTATACTGATAATACTTGAGGTTGTTTCAAATATGTTCGAACTTAAATCGACAATCCCCAAGCTGATTTGTCCAAGCATCACTTGCAGGGCTTGGTCAGCCATGAAAAACAGTAGTTGGTTAGAATACCCCAAGGCAATTGGTTTGATTCCACAATCTCCAAGGCAAAATATGGCAAAATATTGAAGTGTTAATCTGCTCAACGAAGGGTTTATTCAGATAAATGGTCTAGAACATGGTGGATCTTCCCCATGTGCCAAGGCACTTCGAACTTTCCGAAGAGTTCCTCACAGGCGCTGAGGTAAATCGCCATAAGGGCCATAAACCATTCCATTCACCAACCATGTGGGCGTCATTTTACACTATCCGAAATAGGGGTATACCCAATAATAACAATAACAGTTAGATGAGTTTACTATTGGGTCTACAACATTACATCCGTTTTTCACTTTTAGAAAAGCAAACGCCATGGCTTGTTTAGGTTTTTAATTTTGACCCATCCCACCTCGCAGTAAAGGAGGAAACATCGTACCGGACCAACGTTCGAGCCCCCTTGAAAGAATCTGTTTGGAAGATCGGCATTTGCGCCTTGGATTCCTGAATGGTAGACTCTGGTAGACATCAACTTCAAATGTCTGATCGATTTAATGTATCTCTGGCATGATTGAGATTGCCTATGTATGGACAGCATGCACTGATCCGTGCAAGATTGATCATCTTCCCAGGTTTTGATTTTCCCTATTCTGAATAAATGAGATGAGAAGATGCTCACCAACCTCAGTCGCCTCATTCGTCACATGGCTATACGTCAACATGATTGCTTTCGAGAAATAACATACCCACTGACGACGAGTCGTCACATTGAGCGCACACATCTTCATAGCTTGCGATTGGTTCCACACAAATGACAACAAAATCACAATCTTCAAGTATAGGAACTTATCGGAACCCCGAACAAGATGCAGAAAAGTAAGTTTCCCACTACAGATTGAGTGGTAACTGACTTAAGCCAATTTTCGCTTTGCTTCGGGAAAAAAAGTACCACCCCAAAAACCATGTGACCAAACTTGCCCAGGCACCCCAATGAATTGAACCACTTCCTCTGGTTTCCGCTGGCTGGCCTTCACTGAGGGATGGAAACGGGGAAAATCCGGATGGAAAATCCCGAGGGAACATCATCAATGGATGCTTCTCCATGAAAAGTCCATGGACGTCAAGGGGGTGAACAAATTGAGGAAACCTGGCAGAATTTAACAGGAAATCTCTGAATTTCATGGTGTCTGAATTTTTGTGGAGAAACAGTCTTTATGTGCTGGTCGTTGAATTCCGAATGGGATGGCACATATTTGGCAAGTTGCTGCCAAAAACCATATTGGCATCATGAGTGTATCATCTCATGATATTCAGTTGGGATGATGACATTCCCAATATATGGAACAAAAACAATAATTCCAAACCACCAACCAGTCAACATTCCTTTCAAACCCCACATCAGAAACATTATGATCGAACCCAATGGGCAGTCGCTCCGATATCACCTGAAATACATGGCTTATCCATGCAAACGACATGGTATCCCACCTTAAACTGAGGCCCAGGCAAGCTTTGTGAAGCCACACAAGTCAGATTGAGCGATGGTCGCCCTCTTGTACCTCAAACAACAAGGCCCGAAGCAAACGCGCTGTCCAAGTTTCTTGGCAGAAACACCGCGCAAAACACAAGGGATTAGGAAAAATAGACCATAGAAACCCATTTCACACCCAAACATACCCAAAGAACAAGCGCTTTGCCGTGCCAACATGTCGTTAAATGCTGCCTGTGGGTGGCAACGTTTGTGTCCGGATTTTCAATGGTTTAAGCCACAATCTTGACACGTTTCCACACCAGTTGGAAACAGTTTGCTGCTAATTATGGCCAGTTGGAAATCAAACTGTTACAACCCTTGTGAAAACAAAAGCCAAAGCTATGGGAAAAACCGCCATCCTGGCAGTAAGACTGATGGTTTTCCGCTGCTTTCCAGGCCCACAAACTCGGCGGCCTGGTGGAGGGGTTGCTAGTTTGCACATGTACTGATGCTACTTTTCTACATCTTCTTTACATAACAATGCTACGATTTTATCAACATCCATGCGGCGCTGCTTGTTCCTCTTGGCCTACTCTTTTGTGTAGTTTTGATGGTCATGTTCACATTCAAGCATGTCAGTTTGGTACCTCTAGCATTGGATCGGCTACCACCAATGCTTTTCTCATCAAGGGGTGCCATCCATTCATCAACCTGAAAAAGAACGTCCATGTCCTCATCATCTCATCACCTTGATGGCACACTGACTTGAGCCATGAAAACTACATTTTTTCTCATTCCAAGACCATGAATTCAATAGTTTTAAACAGTAGTTTATTATAGTTTATTAGGTTTATATATTCATAGCTAGTCCCAAATTGCATGGGTCAGTTCACAATTTCCTATGTTCCCATAAGCCGCCATTTCATATTCAACCAGCGTTTATGACTTGTATCCCAACTTTTTATGGCTGGTCTAAACCTTTGTCTCTCATACCTCATGCGTAGAACCCATGTCTCCCTATCGTACCAGTTTTGGATGGCTAAATCATATTAATGGATGGCTGACAAATATGAAAACCCCAATTTTGGTAAGATCATTCAACAACTGGGTCGTATAGCCCCTGATAAACATTAACCAAATCATTTATCACTATATCTCTAAATGTTTAATAGTTTGACAACCAGCCAAACATACAATCTTTGCTGCTTAAACACATTATTTAAATAAAATCACTCATGTCTCATGGTTGGAACCCATGTCCATAGTTAGAATCCGTGTTTTCCTGTCATTATCATCTTTGATATCTTTATCATATTAAATCTCCATAGTATTACTAGCAGCATAACCCCCAAGCTGATCATCAATCAACCGTTCAATAACTCATCAACCACATTGAAAACCTTATGAAGGATGCTTAGATGGGTTGGTCCGAAAATGGGATGGTCCTGAATCAACTGGTTCATCAGTTTCCCTGTTGACACAGTCATAACTGGTGTATACTTCATTTTCCAACAAGCCGAATATCATGTTGGTTCTGGATCGGATGTATGTTCCTATCCCCATCAAAAGCAATGTTTTAAAACCATACTAAACCACATCAAAAAACACTATGGCTATGGCTATGATGCTTGAATAAGCAACTAACAGTTACCTGTAAACTAACCGTTTACTATTGAACATGGCCATAGAAATAAGTGGCCACTTATCTATAATTAATCTACCCACTCAAAATGGTGATTTTCCATAGTTCTTTCTGTTTACCAGAGGCTACTCACATCGGGCGCCATAAGTCGCGCACTTGTGCGAAGGCAGTTCCGCCGTCAGCGGCAAGGATCTCAGCTCCTGTCGACTGCACGTACCGCAAAGATCAGGCGATCGGTCTAAGCAACGAAAATTGGGATTGAAACAGCAAACATTGAAATTTTTATTCGGAAAATTGGGATGAAATTTGTGAGATTTCACCAATGAAAAAAAGGGGATCTAACCGTGCTCGATGCATGGGGATTCACCATCAATGGGAGGTTCACTGAAAAAGAGACCCCAGTTGTGAGTTGGTTTATGTTCACCCATCCAACTGCAGATCCATCTCCACCATCTCAGCTAGATTAGATGAATGAAGCAATAACCAACAATTAACCTGAGACAACCCATCAATGCTAGATCGACATGGAAATCTTGAGGTCTAACCACTAAAGGTGGGGTGTTTTGAAAAACCTACTCAGCATGTTTTCTTTGTGACTGGTTGGCCAAAGTCGCCAACCAAAAAAATAGTGCAACTTGACCAACTTCAGAGCCTGGAAGCCATTACTCTTTGTCGGAAAGTTGACCTAATCGAGTCACCAACCGTTCACCAAGTTTTCTTCTCAAGCAATTCAACCAATGGTATCTGACCTAATGAATTTCCCTAGTCATCAACCGTTGTCTATTATGCGACCGGGTCGGAGATGAAGTTTCCCATGGTTTCTCCATGTCTGATGCAATAGATCCCTATTTTCAGTGGCCATCCCCATGTCAGGAGCATCCCAACGGTGTGATTCCAATCTTGCTGTCCTCCTCATTGCAGGGGAGTTCGGCTAATTACTCGAGTTACGTGAGACGCAACATCCCAACAGAGCAAGACTAATGAGCCAATGGGATGTTATATTGACTAGTGTTATTGGATTCTTATCCCATTGGGATGTTATTGAGCCAACATAAATGTTGTTGCATATCTATTGTTATATGGAATAGTGTTATCTGTTGTTATGGGATGCTATTGCAAGTCTGCAAAAATGGTCTCCGTTTTTCACAAATCCAATGACTTTCTTAGGTCGCCAACCTCGACTAAGTTTGGCCCATCTTTTAGCCATGCTCTGGGTTGTCCTAGCCATAGTTCTGGTGGTTAAAGTTTGGCCGTTCCAACATATTTGGTAGGAACCGTTCCCAGAATGCCCACAGTATGCATGTTCTATGAAAACAGTGCTATGGGCTATGATATGATTCTGGTTGCCCAAAAAATCGTTGTATCATATCGGCAACGTATATCTTTTTAGGTTGGTAAATATAGTAAATATACCAACCTATAGCAGCTATATTCGAGTAGGAGAATATCCCATCCGTTCGTTCGGTTGACCCAACAAACAAATCCCATCCGAAAGCACCAAATGATTGACGGATTGAGCCAGAATTCATCATGTAAAAGAAGATTTGAACATGTCTTTTTTCAGCCAAAACCAACCATCATTATCATTATTATTCTTACTCCTATCATCATTACCATGCCTACTATCATTATCACAACAATAATGATTATCAATATCATTACTATTACTATTATTATTCTATTGATCCTATTGTTATGTCTATATCTATATGATTGTAACTATATGATTAGGATCAATATCCTATTAATCACGATTACTATGATTAAAACTATCATTATCAATATTATTATTCCTATCTATATCTATCATTATTATTGTTGGCCATTGTCTCCCAGACCTCCACCACCAGCGGCGGCATCAAGGTGCTGGCGATGGAATCAATGCGTTGTCGCCTCATCACTGAAATGTGGAAACGAAATGGGACAGTTGTTTGTTGCTAATCTATTAGGTTCTAGTTAATGGATATTATTGGATTATCAATAATAATCAAATAACAACCTAATAGTTTTTCATGGAGCCAGTGTTTGTTATTATTCTATTAGGTTCTAGTGGCCTGACTATATTGAAAATGAAACACTAGTGAAACAACAGGGAAAAATGAAACAACTTATGTGTTTCACAGAAAACTTTCATACAATGAAAAATGTGTTTAGTGAAACTTTAGTTTTAAATACATCCAACTGGAAGAAACGGATCATGAAATGGGGTCATACTCAGATATGATGCAAAAAAAGTATCCCTGCAGAACATGACCTCGTGTGGCACCTCAATTTTTGCTATCTACATGCGTCTTTCTTGAAGAAAAACGACACCTGAAGATTGGTGTCATCCTCATCAACTTGAGGGGCTGCAGCGATCATCAAATTCAAAGCCACTGGGTCATTTCCATCTCCATTTTCAACAGGAAACCCTGGATATTTGGAGATGTTCAAATTCAAAGCTGTTGGATATTTTCCTGTTGAAATCCAGATTCAAAGTCTTCTTTCTGATTTCTGACCCAGATATTGCTGTATGTTTTCCCATCATGTGAACGCGCGCGTGCCCTGGTGTTAATCAAATTGGACCCACATGAGCAATTTCGCTAAGAAATATTGGGCAGGTAAACGCTACTCCCGAACAATAACATACATATTCTTGATGGCGAATCAAACCATAAAGATATCCAATATACAATATCTGGTTGGTGGTTTCAACCCCTCTGAAAAATATGAAAGTCAATGGGAAGGATTATCCCAGATATGAAATGGAAAATAAAATTCCATGGTTTGAAACCACCAACCAGAATATTATCCCAGTATTTACAGTGTTTAGATAAAACATATCCCATATACAATATGTACCATCTGGTTATTTAACATAGCCATGGAAAATCATCATTTTTAATAGGTAAACCATCTATAAACGGGCCATCTATACCATGGCAAACTGTTAAATAACCAGAGGGTATCTCCCCAAGTTGTGGATCCATCCCCCAAGCTGCCAGTCGCTGGGACTTCCCCACGAGATCTGCACCGATCTTTGCGCCAAGAATCTCAGGCGACTGTTCCTGATTCGCCCCAAAACCGCAACATGGAAAAACATCTATTTCTATGGGCCATGGCCACCATGGCTATGTTAAATAAGCAGAGGCTATTTTCAATGGTACACAATGGGAAACATGATGAGAAATCATCAGAATGTAAAACGTAGAAGACGTTAGAAGACGTTATATGAGCAGTGTTCGACACCTTTTGTCATTTAATTCTGCTGGCCAGCGTATAGTCATCCCTAGTATGAGTTATACTCATCTCCAGTAAATAGCATGAATTACCCCCTACAATAAGCATTCAATAATCTTGGATTTGCTGAAGGAACCCACAAAACACAACTATTATGGTTGGGAAACTGAATTCGTAGCTCCAGCTGGCGCAAAAATCGGGAGCTATGGAGACCCAAAACCGCTCCGAAGCACTCCCTAACCATCCACTGAGACCTGGTAAACGTTTACATAACGACCTTGAAGGATCCACCATGCTATGAAAATCGGTAAATCCACTATTTCGACTGGGCCATTTTTAAATAGCATTTTGTATGTTTACCAGAGAGTATATCCATAAATATCCCAATATTATCCCATTATCATCCCATTATTATCCCATTATTATCCCTATAAAACCATTTTAAACCATATTAAACCATAGTAAACCCATTGAACCTCCATTAAACCTCCATTAGTTTACCGGTCACACGACAAATTCCCTACAGATTCCCCCATTTTTCCGGGATCGCCTCTCACCGGACCAGGAAATGGTGGAATTCAACAAGCTCATCAGACACCTGGGGGGGCTACCCTCTGGTAAACCAACAAAAAGCTATTGAAAATAGCCATAGAAATAGTGGATTTACCCATCAAAAATGGTGATTTTCCATGGTTATGTAAACGTTTACCAGAGGGTAAACCTGGAGAAAAAAAACAAAATTTGGGGGGCAGAAACATGGGGAGATCCGATGATTCGTTCATGTCCATCATAGAAAGGATACCAAAATGGAGAGATGTAGTACCAAAGCATGGTTTTGAGTCGAAGTCTCGACTCAATGCTTTTGGGAATCATGGGATTGTAACTGGTTTCAAACATAAGGAAAGATGATCATAGAGGGGCTTGAAAGCATGAGATGAGTTGGACTGAGATTCACCGAGTGAAATGGGTTAATCCCGCATTGCTGTGATTTGAAACCACTGGGGTTTGGGGTAGTCTATTTTCAGGCCCCAATGAGGAAATGAACCACGCATTTCAGACTTGATGGTAAGGTTAAGCGAAAATTGATGAAGAAAGATCAACAATACATGGACAACATAAGGATAGAATCGAAAACGAACCAATATTCGATACCAACATGGGGAGTGGTCACAAATCAAGACCACCCGCAACATTTGGGACATTCACCAGAAATTGCGAGAGAGCAGCAAACTCTGGTGATAAGACCATTGATCATCCACAATAGGTACATGCACATGAAACAGGGATGGAAAAATGGGGGCTGCCAATGAGCCAACAAAGAGATGGTCGACAGGACCCACAGCCATCCAATTTTGCAGGATGCATTTGAGCATGTTTCAGCCAAACCCATATCATTATTTGCAGTATTTTGCACCAGACAAGGGGATGTAAACCAACCAAATCATGTTTCACAACGACAGAAATCGCGTAAGATCGTGAGATCAACAGAGCATGGGCAGAACCAATCAAACATCAAGTTGATGATTCCCATCTGGTTATTTAACATAGCCATGGAAAGATCCACCCATCTTATAGCTAGGTAAACCATCTATTTCTACGGGCCATCTATACCATGGCAAACTGTGAATGTCATAACCAGAGGATAATCACTTTTTTTTGGTCCGATCCAGTTGTTGATGGGAAAAACATGTTCAAGCTACTGGACCTACCAATGTATTGACCCCCAACAACGCCAAACGAAATATGTGGGCCAAACCGTCTGCTGCCAAAGGGCAACAACATCTTGGAGGAGTTGGACATGTAGGTGTTGCAGTTGTAACCTGCTCTCAGGAAAAGGTGGATGTAGCAATAAACTGGGATATCACCAGCAAAGATGCCTTGGTAGATCCACCCAAACACGGATAGGTAAATCACCTATCCAACGATGATATGTGCATCCCAGTTTGCAATACTTACTGTGGTTCATAACCATTGGAGAGAAACGAGTCATGGGAGATCTCACATTTCTAGATTTAGGTATAATTAGATATTTATATCTATTAGTCTATATATACACATATACACATACACACGTATATATATATATATAATTAGATATGATCCATATGACATGGGTACCAACCAATTACAAGTCACTCCCATGCAAACATCCTCGTCAAGGTCATCCTATGGATGAAACATCAGTCTCCCCCTCCGACTGCAAGACGTTGAGGCCAGAAAAGGGGCAATTAATTAGTTTCTATTAGTGGGAGACCCAGGATCAATATGGAAGCATCTTCGCATGTTTTGTATCGTTATTGCAGGTGAAGATTCCCATTTTTGGGCTTGTTTGAAATGGGGAGGGATTTTTTGGCTTTGTCTGAAAATCATGCACCCCATTGCACCCAATAGTTAATCATAATTTTCCCAAACAACGCGGCGACAGAAAAACACATGTTCAGACACATCCATATCTGTGGGATTCACCCCTACCATCCCCACTGGGGCCTTTGGCGCCACAGAGTTGTGTCCAAAAGCCAGCCTCGTTTTGGGTGGGTTTAAGGCACCAAAACACGGGGGATATCGTGGGAATATCATGGAGATTTTTCAGAAATGACCTGGGGATGAAACACCAAGCATTTTATGCGGATCTGGATGGGAAAAAATGGTATACATGACAAACACGATGATTTGGGTTTGTTTGAAAGTGGGAAAATGCAACCCCATGTGGGTGGTGGTTTAGACACCCCTTGAAAATCATTACTCAGTTGGGGATTGATTCCAAATCGGAATGCAACAAAATCAAGCTAACATAAGCTAACCTTTTTAAACAGGAATGGTCTGTGGTTTAAACCCCGCCAACAAATATAAGTCATGAGGAATCATCTTCCCATTTTTATGGTTGAACAAAATAAACATATTTCAAATCACCGGTTCTGAGGAAAGCTGGAAAACATATTTCAGTTGATGGGCGAGGATTTTTCCGTCATTGGAATCATGGATTGGAATTCATTTCTACATCAGAATTCTCTGTTTTTTTTTCAGGGGCATTTTTTTTCCCTTTTCATGGCTAGCATCCGGTAATATGGCAGTGGAAAATCCCCTGTAGATGATTTCCCAGCTAGAAACCTCGGGATTTCCAGTTGCCTTGAGTACAGTTCAATATCCAAACAACGTACCCGGCCTGGTAAAAACATTCACAGTTTGCGAACTTGAACATGGCCATAGAAATATATAGTTGATTTACCCATTCAACTATCGTGATTTTCCAGTTTGCAAACCGTAAACGTTTACCAGATGTCAAATGATACCATCTGGTTATGTAACAGTTCGTCATGGAAAATCCATCCATTTTATAGCTAGGTAAACCATCTATTTCTATGGGTTAGCGCTTAACCGTGGCTATGTTAAATAACCAGAGGGTATCAACCATATATATATATATAAGTAATAGTGGTTAAATAGTAGTGGTTAATAGTGGTCAATATAACTGGTTATAGTGGTTAATAGTGATATACCATGGCAAACTGTGAATGTCATAACCAGGTTGGCAACATTCTGTCATTGGTCACCGGGCCATGGTTAGAGGGATGATCCAAAAGATCTGGGCGGAGCGGCGGAGCGTCGTCGTCATGTGAATATTTGGTATTGATATGGGATATATTTAACATCTATATATAGTCATATATGGGATTTTAACAATATTTTCTCTAAACCTAGTATTAATATGTATTAATATGGGATATCAACATATATCAACCAACAGTTAATAGAGGATATTCACCAACAATCAAATTGATGGGAATAACCAGAATAGCCTCTGGTTATGACATTCACAGTTTGCCATGGTATAGATGGCCATTAGAAATAGATGGTTTACCGTTCTTAATAGCATGGTGGATCTTTCCATGGCGAACTGTTAAATAGCCAGATGGTAGTATTGATATGGGATAAATTTAACATCTATATATAGTCATGGGATTTTAACAATATTTTCTCTAAACCTAGTATATTATATTCACCATCAATGAGCTGTGTTTGTAGGATATTCACCAACAGCAAATGAGGGTTTGATAAACACGATCCTTGGGTTTTCACAACCTTATTGAGCGACAAAAATATACAAACGTAAACTAGCACTATTTCAGTAGGGTTATAACTTTCTATCCTTTTTTGGGATTACTATGTGTATGGCATGTCAAGGATATTCACCAACATATTGGGGTTTAAAACATGTTGGTTTATATAAATAACAACAAACGGGTACACCCATACTAACCACAAATCCTGATTTTATCAAGTACAATTTGATGATGCAATGAGCTATTGGGGAGGTGCAGCATTTTATTTTCCCCCAACTTCTCAATACTGTATGAAACTTCAGACACTTGAAGCAACATCGGGACTGGTTCGGTGCCATTCTTGGATCAGTCTCAAGCTACCATCGAACTGTGGGCAAATTACTATAATTCACCGAACTGAAATAAAGTTATTTTGAGATCATTTCCCTCCAATCACCTTGGACAAATTCCTAGTCAGAGTGTTACATCAAAGAAAGATTTCATCGCCCCTGTCATTCTGGGATGATCCCCCTGTCATTTATAGCCAGCTATAGGTGACAAAAAAACATCTGTAGCCAGCTCCAAAAGGATAGAACATGAAAAAAACCTACAAAGAATAGCCAAGAACTACTTTTCTATCTTTTCGGGGCTTACATGGGCTTACTATATATCATGTACTATCCCCACCATTCCCCAACTTTTCCCAAGGACCTGAGTTTCTGCCACCTTTCTCATGGTGTCTTGAGCATCCGGACGCAGGTATGGATGAAGCGGAACTGGTGTTGAGTCGCCACCTGCCGCTGGGAGTTTCGGAAGTTCACCAGGTGTTTCATCGCTGGTAGACGTTGCAAACGGATCCATTCACCACCAGGGTTGAGACATAAAAGCCCAAACATGGCAGCAATGTCACTTCCCAGTGGTTTAAATGTGTTAGTTGTCCCTACTTCCTCAGCTATTTCGGCATGTAGATCCATGTCTCAAAAATTCAAAGTTGTCACAGTGATCGCTGCAATGGCTAGTTGGAACATGTTGGAACAGGCTTGTGCAGGCCGAAGAGATCCTCTCAAACTGAAGTTGATTTTCCATGATTTTCCAATGTCGAATAGGGACTGCTCTTCCACTTGAGCTTGAAAATCAAGCCACTCACCATGCACCAAAGGACGTTTTTTGTGATCCCAAAGGGCTCCTGATGGATTTTTGGGGCTCCCATTGGATAACGAGAAGTGCCCATCAAATAAAGTCAGCCCCTCACCACTGGGGACCCCAGACCAAGAAGTACACTGGAAACCTCAAGGGGAACAGGATGACTCTGACACCTTGTGGTGGTCTAAAACACAACCTGCGTGGCTAACTGAGATCCAATTGGGGCATTGACCATTGACCCACGTCCCCAAACCAAGAATTCTCCAGTGACACATTTGCAGTTCAGAAGGGCAAGATGGTCATGACAGTTCAAATAGCTAAGTTCTTAAAATGGGAGTCGTTGTTCAGGGCTGTGGGAAGGCTGTGAGGTTGTGGCCCGAATGGCAAATCATTCCTTCGACACATCCCGGAGCGTAGCTGGGTCTCTTCCGGGGAGCGGCAGACCAATCTGGTGCCCTTCCCCTTTTCTCTGGCTTCATATCTTCTTCCGGCGGTGAAAGACAGGTCCCGAGATGGAGAAAGTCACAGCACAGTGGCGTCAGCTGTGGGCTGCAATTGTAAAGAAAGAACGGGTCGTTCTCCAGTTGTTCTCCAATCACTATTTTTTTTAAACTAGCTACTTTTTAAATGGACCATAATGGATCATTTTCCAGTTCTCAAACTGTTAGCCTCGTGCCAAAGCCCGTTTTGCGAAGCTTCTTGATTTCCTTCCTGGCCCCGTCTCGCATGCCAAAGTTGCTCCTTCCCCTGTTTCGCTGGCGAGGCCCAACTGCAACCCCTCTTTGACGGTTGTGAACACATGAAAACACACGAAAACACACGAAAACACATCAAAACAGATACATGAAAACACACGAAAATACATGAACACACATGAAAACACATCAACACAGAACCATCATTAGTAATTCTTCCAGAGTTGACACACTTTTTGGTTTGTTCTTTGGTCATCCCATCAGGATTTCTTTACCGACGGAACGATGCCATCTACTTCTCACCAGTTGCTCAGTCGGTTTTCCCATATAAATATATATATATACATATATATATATATACATACATATATATATGTATATATATATGTATATATATATATACATATGTATATATGAGCAATATCCATCTATATCCCCATTGCTGGTTCAATCGCCATGAGTTTTGGTGCCTAATTTAGGACACACCCACATGTTCCCTGAAAGCTACATGTTTGATGGTAAAACCTCTCCACCTAAAGTCTACATCATCCTTTGCCATAGCTATTGGTGCAGTTCTCCATGGACAATTAACCCCTGAACAACCACCGACCGTCGACCGTTTCACCAGTCCGTGGGTCAGTTGATCAAGGTTATGAGGTATCAGTAGTTATATGGGACTATACATATATATATATATATAATATTCTGTGGGTATACTCCATTCAAGCGTTCATTTCAGTGTTTTGGAACGATGAGGCTTTAGGAATACACAAGAGTTCTTTGCACTGTTTTATCGAGGTGCACGTTTCATAGAAGTTATGCACTTTTCAAAAGTTATGCACTGTTCAGGGAAGTTATGCGCGTTTCAGAGAAGTTATGCACCTTTCACTGGAGTATTGCACGTGTCATAGTAGTTGCGCATGTTTCACAAGCCACCTAATAACGTTCTTGTTCAACTGCGTCCCAACTTGGAACTCTTAAACCACAAGAACAGATAAACCCTTAAACAAAGTATACCGATATGTGTATATATATATATATACACACATACACAGTAAACTCGTATTTAACTATCCCAGGACTATCAGCAGTTGTATGTGGATAATAAACCACTTACGATTCCTGGGATGCAGCCTTATAGACGGTGCTTACTCTCTAGTAATCAAACATGGCAATGGAAAGTCCTCCTTTTATAGATGTTTCTCCCACTAAAAACCACCATTTACAGAAAATTCTCAATTGCAATTTTTGAGCACCGGCGGGTAAATCACTATATATTACCCTATATCAATATGACTCCTTGATTCAATCCCATATTCCCAAAAAGGAGTTTCCTCAAATAACCTCCAAATCATCCAACATTAAGATGACCTTCAAACCAACCCACGTTTCCTTAATATTGATTACTCATATTCCATATGATGATTGGTCCATTTTAGTATTGACACCGTCTTAGGGATCCCAACCATTCCCACATTTTTGGTCAAATCGCCCTGAAATCCCAACCATTCGCCAGTTGCTTCAGCAGGATATTCCCAGCAAAATCACATCACCATTTTTCCAAATAAAGCCACCATATTTGCTTCATCAAGTCACCATTTTCCTATTGAAATCATCTAAAATCATCTAAAATCCCTAGTGAAACAATCATTTTCACTCGTAAGATTATCACTAGTTGATATATCATAATTATATCATCAAAATTGGTGAATATAACCACATTATATCATATACAATATCATTATATGGCATTATAAGCCATTCATATTTAATGTGGTGAATCCAATCATAAACAGGGATCTGGTTGGTGGTATACCTACCCCTCTGAAAAATATGAAAATCAGTTAGATGGAAAGACACATGTTCCAACCAGGGGATTTACTGGAATATAACCACATATAGGGATTATGCAATAACCACTGGTTCCGCCCATCAAAATCCACCCATTTTCAATGGGGATGTCCCCTCCCAGAAAACGAACTTCCACAAAGCCACATGATCAAGGCAAAGACCCCACTGCCACGCCTCAGCGGATTCCCCGGTGGATTAACCAATAGGAAAAGGATGGGAAAAAGATGGGATATATGGTATTGTTTGAGATTTATTGGGATTTATTGAGATTTATTGGCTTTCAGCAAAAATAATAATGGAGAGATGAAGCAATGAACCAAGGCAAATTGGATTTATTGGGATTTCAACCAATGGAAATGGAGCAGCAACTGCGGGTATATTCTTCGGATCTTTATCCTCTTCCCTAGGCTGGAAACAATCCTTGGTGGCAATGGTGAGCCAATGGACCAATCAAGGCCACTGATGACGCTTGTCGAAGATGGCGCTGATGAAGCTGGCTAAGCTGACACTTGACTTGATTGTATTACTTTGATGAGATTGCCTGACTCCGACTTATGTTGGTGAAATTGACCCTGACAAATTGCAGCGATGATTTTTGGGTGGATTTACCTGATTTTACATCCTGGTTGGTGGTATACCTACCCCTCTGAAAAATATGAGTTCGTCAGTTGGGATGATGACATTCCCAATATATGGAAAAGTCATAAAATTTCATGGTTCCAAACCACCAACCAGCATCTTGACACTGATTAATGCCATGAATCTGGGGTAACTGTCTATGGGTAGAGGGTTACCTTCGTCCAGCATCCGTCTTCTGGGGGACAGCCCTTAGTGAAGATTTCATGGGGAACATGGCGGGAACATGGCGGCTTTTTGTGGGAGGTGCTTCCCAATTTTTCGGTTTACACCGTAAGTCACCAGTTGACCCCCTGTGCTCCCAGACTTATGCGTGATCATCATCTCCCTGAGAGTTTCATTGTTGAACACCGCTGCACCTTCGCTGACGTCTTCATCATAGGGAACCTGGGCATGGTTGGGACTTAGATCAGAAAAAAACTGGTCATATATGAGTCACATATCCATGAATGGCGGGATGAACGTGTTAGAACGATGGCTGTGACTTACAGAGTTAGAGATGAGATAACACTCAGGATCCAGGATAACTACAGGGATCGGGGACTTACGATCACGCTTCGTCCGATCTTACCTTTAAAACATGACACTTTTAACATTTTAGCTGCAACATAGTGGGACTGCAGGTACTACTGGTTTAAGAATCACTGGCTTCAATGGGAATGTAGGTACTACTGGTATCTGATTATCCCACTATAATGTAGCTTTTTAGAAGAATAACCTACATTTCCCATTGAAAAAGCAGCAACGAAAATCGTCTCATCCAGCTCCGTCGATGACCAACACTTGGGATCGTCCCGGGCAGCCATGTCTTGGTTCGCAAAAACGTTACCCGAAATGGTAAACAGTCCCAAAAAACGATGGAAAGATCCACCATTTTTAATAGGTAAATCAACTATTTCTATGGGCCATTTTTCATAGCTATGCAACAAATTACCAGAGGGTACACCCTTACAACAGTCTTCCAATTGGTCATCGAACTTTGTTTGGGTTCATCAAATAGCCCGTTTTCCCTGGCACTGACTGACCGAAAAGTGCCCGAACTTTGGAGCTAAGGGAAATTCAAAGTTCGTAGAGTTAGCAGCCATCTAAATGTGTTTTTTGGATGGTGCATTTTTTTTTGGGATCACATGGCATTGGGATATCCCGTATCCTGGCTACCCGAAGGCTACTCCATGGCACCCTTGGCGCCAGATCTTGTTGGATAAGCCTCAAAACATATAAGGTGGAACCCTCAAAACAGCGATCTCTGATAGCTTAGGTTACTAGCTTATGTTAGCCCATAATCATAATAATCTTAGATATGTGTACCATAAACCCAGCAGTCCCAGCAGTTCACATACCTGAAACGAACCAATGTAGCTACCTGTTAGAGGCCTCATCCTCACGTATTTTTTGTGGGAAAAAGATGGGTGATTGCCAGCTGGACAGCTCCAATCTTCTCCAGGGCACATGGCGAACCTCCGAAATCGCATCGTAGGAAATCAGGGTTAACACCTGCGTGGGGCCGTTCACATGGGATCTACGGATTTCAGCAACCATTTAATGGGGATACCGTCTCGGATATGCGACAGATAGGATTCTTCTATCCTCCTAATATTCCAACCCCGACCCCGGACTAGTTGGAGTATAACTAGACAGTTACAGGTCCTTTTTGGCTGGATAATATCTAGAATTGAATGGATCTGCAAACCCACCTGTAACATTGCCAAATCTTAGTCTTAGATGGGCCCTTGCACAAAATATGAGACATATAGTTGAGTTAGATAGGTCAGTACATTCCTATGTTATTGCAAACGATTCAGTTGTATCAAACTATCCTTAACCAGTCCGCTTCCCCAATTGGAAACGAGTCTGAAACTTGTAGGGCCCGTGTTCGTTACATTCTCATGTCGAAATAGTTACATCTCGAATCTGTCCTGCTCACATCCCGTTTTTCATTTGAACTATTTCCTCCTTGGTTCACTTCATCAAACATGCTTGAGGCTTGATAGAGTGTTTTTTGTTTCCTGGAATTCATCTCTGACAGAAACCATAGGACCAGAATTCCAACTGAAGCCGCCTTAAAGGCATCAAACCTTGGGCTGCAGCTGCCAAGATGATCCATGGAGATCCATAAGTTTGAGCGACATTCACCCAGGTAATCCACAATCGTTATTCGGAATTGTAGATTCTGAAACTAGCCGTAAATTGAAGTAAATTTTCACATAACACCAATGTGGAGTCATCCCGTTAGGTGGATCTGCATTTCTTCACACCTTAGGTAAAGATACCGGGTATATCAAGTTATATCATGTCATTCCTCCATCGGGAATCATCACATTTCAGTAAGCTGAAGGCCATTTTGGGATACCCAACTCCGAAGGCAGATTCCTCTAGACTTTGCTTCGTCATATCTGTCAGAATATGTGCTTCGTCATAACATGGTACATGGGTTCATCCCATCATTAGGGTTCCTGGAACAATGGGAATATAAATCATTATCAATCCATGCCATAAATGGGAATATATATTATCTATATATATATATCTATATGACAATACAATGGGAATATAACCATTATTCGAGATTCCTATAAATGGATTGATGACCATGCCATTTTATGGATTATGGGAATATAAACCATGTTTCGACAATGGCACATGTGAAAGTCATAAAATATCGAAACCGACTTTTTTCTTTTGTGGCGAAGTATTTGAAAACAACCAACACACAACACAATGGGCCTCTAATCCCCAGAAATGAAGCTCAAGATGGCTCAAGGTTCCCATTTTTGAAGCAGTACAATAACGGTATAACATAACATGCCTAAGATACAGTACGAAATCCAAATCACATGGAATTTGAACAGAATGTGAATTCACCAAACATGGGGCAAGGATATTAAGCCATCAACTTACCGTGTACCTTCTTTGTTGCAGATCATCGAAGACGCTCCCAACGTGTTTTTTTCTGCTCGAAACGATGGTCGGTACTCCTGGGGTCAATGGGTAGGGCCGGTACAAGCGGAAATAGATGGGTTTATCTGGAAATAAGGTGCCTCAAAGCCCAGTGGTTAATAAACATTTGCAAAATGGTAAATTTTTGAAGCTATATCCCATTTTCAGGCACGTCTGCATGGGGTTGTCTCAAATTTTGGAACACCATCATGCCCTTCAAAGTCTTGTTTTCCTCACAAACATGTTTGTAGATTGGGACATCATCCATTTCGAAAACAAACACAATGAACAAGACACATCTTTGCAAGTGACACGACCACTGCAAAGGGCAATGTATTGGATGATCTCATATGGCTGTAACATTCTCATAGATCGTGTCCTTTTTGAAACATTTTGAAATGTGTGCTCATGCATTTCCTGCTTCGCAATTAAGACTTAGATTGAAAAAAAACAACGCTAAAAACATCACAATTTACTGCCCCACATTCCTAGTTTCTGCCAGTACACTCAATGATGTTGATCCCCAATGAACCAGGTTGATTTCCCCCCAGTTTCAAAACAAATAAACCTGATTTTTTCTGGTCACCCCATGTTTTTCTTGGTTTCAAAAGCTATAAATGATGTTTTTTTTATCTGGGCAAACTAGATTCGAATCATGAATTTCATCAAGCTTCAAGCAGTGTTTCGTGTTTGGGAGTCCAGGATGACCCATGATCCCCCCAAATGTCATTTATGTCATTTATCTGGATGTTCAATTACAGAAACTCACCAACCTGAAAAAATCAACACATGTGGGGTTCCCTATAGCAAGCATCATTTCCGCTGACGAAAGCACGTGAGGTCGTGATCACATTTAGCCAGATATAATTATGTACTGTATATCAAAAACTGATTAGTATTCCATGGTTTTGGCGCCGGGCATCTGGGAGGATCGCGGCTGTTGTTATTTTTTGCATTCTACTATGAAAATAACATTGTGTGGGGGGGGGGGTGGGGTGGGGTGGGGTGTGGGGGGGGGGGGGGGTGGGGGGTGGGGTGGGATAAGAATGTCATTTGCACTTCCACACATATGTGATGCAACATATTTGTACGCTCCCTTGCATTTCATTCACATCCACACATACGTCATGCTACGCTTCTGTAACTTCTTTTGCCCTTCCACGCTGTAGGTTCTCTTGCCCTTCCACACATACGTCATGCTACGCTGTAGGTTCTCTTGCCCTTCCACGCATACGTCATGCTGCGCTGTAGGTTCTCTTGCACTTCCACACATACGTCATGCTACGCTTTAGGTACTCTTGCACTTCTACACATGCGTCATGCTACGCTGTAGATTCTCTTGCACTTCCACTACGTCACGCTACGCTGTAGGTACTTTCGCACTTCCACACATGTGTCATGCTACACTGCTGTAGATTCTCTTGTGCTTCTGCACATGTGTCATGCTACGCTGCAGGTACTCTTGCACTTCCACACATGTGTCATGCTACGCTGTAGGTACTCTCGCACTTCCACACATGTGTCGTGCTACGCTGCTGTATGTTCTCACCGTGTGATGATGATGATGATGACGACGACGATGATGATGTTGATATCGCTGACGATACTAAAGTTTCTTGTTTGAGCCTTTTCAAATCCCCGTAGAAAATGTTTGAATAGTGACGACAGTCGCGAGCCTCTCAGATGCCCGGCACCATGTTTTTCTATCCCATTACACACACATATACACACTTATTAATATATACCCATCTCCAGCAATATCCCGGTTCGATCCTAGACCTTCGTATTCAAATTTATCCAAATTTATGGGCCTTGTACGGCCGGCCACGACTCGCCCATCCTCGACTCGCCGCTGTTTGGTGCAGTGCTTCCTGGGGGAGGAGAACCGCCCGCGAGGTGGCTAATGGAGGGTCAATCAAGGATAGCGTCAGCGTATTTTTAGACAAAACAAGATCTGAATAATTTGGATGAATTAGGATGGGCTAATTAAGGATCACCTGACTGGCAACAAAAAGGTCCCGCCGGACCGGAAACCGTGCCCATAAAGCGCACGTTTAAAAAAAACATGGTGATGTTACCACAGTGCCGTGCTGATTTGATGATTGGAAATCCTGGAAAAACTTGGGGCACCTTTTTTGGCTTTTCAGCGTCATCACTGCAACGCATGCACCGTTATCAGCTGGCAGTCAGCATTCTTGTGAATGCATCTCCATTGCCAAGCTCCAGCATACACCATCAAGAGGTCACTTTTGGCACTCAAGTTGCTGGGAATTGACTTTTTCATCAGATTCCACATAGAACATGTAACGTAGTAAACGATCCCAGAGATCTCAGCAGCGTAGCAACATGTAACGTAGTAAACGATCCCAGAGATCTCAGCAGCATGGCGATATATCATGTACGAAGTACAAGGAACGTTGACATGCCCCCCCACCCCACCCCACCCCACAATCGCGATATTCAAAAACGTGCGTTTTACGGGAACGGTTTTCGGTCCGCAGGCAAAAAGGTGAACACTTAGAAAGTCATCAGGATGGAGGATGAAATACATGCTTTTTGTAAAGAACTACTTCCTGAAACCAGACAAATCGGCACGCGACAAAGACGCTTCTGGGATGAATCGACGCAAATCATCATGTACCAAGATTTACTGTTTGGTTCAAACCCTCCCAACAAAATGTGCGTGTCATGGGTTGTGTCATCATCCAGTTTCTATGGTTCTTCTTGCATCAATGACACATCAACAAGTGTCTCATCAACACTTGGATCTGACTGGTGGTTTGAAGCGATCCCGAGCACATATATTTCGTCATGGTTTGGAGCAGACCATTTCTATGGTTCAAAACAAAAGGCATTTGAAATCACCCACCAGGGATGGTAAAATCCATACATCAATCAGACAAGTACAGCATCAAAGATCGCAATAGCCACAAAGAGAAACGGGAAATTGTTGTTCCATTGTACTGGTTAGCCAATAGGAAATCCCAGAATGGCTGATGATAATATTTATGGATAGTAAACCTAAACTCCCTATAATCATCAGCCAGTTGCGGCTTTGAACACTGCTCAATTCAATAGATGTTACAACAAACATGGGGATTTGGTCAAGGGCCACCAAAAAAACTTATTCCCGTGGATTACCAGATTACTATTTCTGTTGGATTAACCAATGGGAACATTCAAAGAAACACTTGGATTCTGCAAACCAGCGCGGCAAACGACGGAAAGTATTCAAATATATAAAAATATCCCGGGTAGCAAACTACCACGGTTCAGCTGTCAAATAACACATGTAGGTGCAAAAGATATTCAAACATACTGTCAGACAAATCCCGATACCAACATGATGAACCTTATACAAAGGCTTTTCAGTGAGTTTCTCAAACTAGAGAAGGAATCCAGATCCAAAAGACACCAACAAAACATGACCACACATTACCCAAATATCAGCTTTAAACCAGTAAAGCAGTGCCAAGACAACAAAACTTAAAGAAGAGATGGAGCATGCCGAGCATGCCCTATAATTACATCCCTCTATATACTGTAGATGTAACTTGCACTTTGGCTTGCCGGCTGCCAGAAGATGCGGAAGAATTCGCATAAAATCTTCAACCATTCAGTCAAATAGAAAACGCGCAGGAAAAATCACGCTTTCCCTGGAAAATGCAAAATCGTTTTGGCCGTCTTTCATTATTTTTGGATGAGATTTGCACTTGTTTACTTTATCACACGCGACGCAGGCCGCCTTTTCCTTATCTAGGCTCCGCCGGTCAGGACAGGAAAAGCGCTGGAGATGTCATGGGCCACAAGCGCAGGATTGTTTGATAGTGTGTATTGATGTGTATTGTGTCTGTGCGTGCAGATGCAACACACCATTGAAATATCGATCCATATTCTGAGAGCTCACAACATGCCATGCCACCACCAGCAAGAGACCACCCATACACCACCAAAAGTACCATTCAAATGCCACCGCAACACCAGAAAAATACCTGGCAAACACAACATTCCACGCGCATGCCCAAACGTGGCCCAAGATAAGCCCAATATGGTCGTCCCAACTCTTGCCCAACAAAGGCCAACACAAACGACAAAATACACCAAAATGGCCCAACATGAGCCCAATATGATGCTGACATAGCCCACAATGGCCCAACATAAGCCCGAGATCAGGCAAGCATAGCCTAAGTGCAGCATGCCACAAGAAAGAAACAAAAACAACCAAACCGCAGTCCAAAATTGTGTTTGTTCTTGGTATTTATGATGTTTTTTGCAAACGCCTTGCGTGGACGAAATTTCAACGACACTGGAATGTCCAAATCCAAGACGAAGGCCAACACAGATCCCAAAATAGCCCAAGATGGCCCAACATGAGCCCAATAGGTGCCAACGTGGCCCAAAATGTCCCAACATAGCCCAGAATGGCCCAAGATAGGCTTAATGTGGGCCCAACTCTTGCCTTACAAAGGCCAACACAACCACAAAATGTACCCCTAAAATGGCCCAACATGTCCCCATTTTGGTGCCAACGTGGCCCAGAGTGTCCCAAGCCCAAAATGGCCCAAGGTAAGCCCAATATGGTCCCAACTCTTGCCCAACAAAGGCCAACAACTACACGCATGCTGGGGCGAGTTTCGCGAGAAGCCGTCCCCAACCAAACGTAGGATTGTGGATCTGGCGGGGTGAGTTCCCTATAATAAGCGTGTAGCAGTTGACTGAGACTCAGACGCCTGCGCCGGCTTTTGCATGGACCCAAGCATCTTCGAGGGACTGGCCCCGACTCAACCCCAGGGCCGCAGACTATACCGTTTGTCTCGGCGGCTGCAGCAACCCAAAGCGTCCGATCAATGCGAGCGAGACGACCATCAGTGCCCAGGACCACGATCCCAAAGGGCTGGGTGGCCGTGTCGCGTGAAACCACCACCAAGGACCTGATTCTGCACCAGCTAAGTGCAAGCAGTCTGTGCCCCTGCCATCTGCCTCTGCCACACCCCAGAACCAAAGACTGCGTATCATCACGTCGGTCACATTGCCAAAGATCGGGCGCAGCAAGAACTCAGCTATCTGTGTCACGTTTTGATTGACATGTAAGCTTGGATTGCAAGGACATTGGTACAGCAACCACCGCAGGGACACATCGCCAACAATGTAGCAACGTGGGCAGACGGAGAAGTGACTCCGCAATAGGTTGCAATACTAGTCAGCGGCTTTATAGATGCGTGTGTTACATGGCCGCGCGAATTTGGCGACAGGCCTATGTTCTTGTCGCGCTGCAGTTTGTGCTAGAAGCTGCATGGTGAGGAAAAGGATTGAAAAAATGTATTCTCTGCGTGGAACGTGGAATGACTGTGCAGGTTGCGCACTTGAATAGTAGTTGCATTGCGTGCGTTTTTTTGACATCCGGTGGTCGTGCTGAGACACAACAGCATCAAGTGACATGAGCCAGCAAAGCTGGCATCTAAAACAGGCCCAAAATATGCGCCATGGTGATCCCAGGCCAGAACCATGTCAGTGCAACACCCATACGGATCAAAGGGTAACGGGTTCCAATACACAAGAATACATACCTGCAGAAGACCAGCAGCCTCAAATCACAGACTCGCGCCTTCACAACTGCCGAAGCAACCGCGCTGTCCGCAGCTAGCGGCGCACCTACAGCAAAAAAAGAAAACAAGCAAACAAAATGCAAACGTGACACATGAAAAAGAATTTAGTGGCACGTACATTACAAGTGGAATATTGCTAACGAAGGCTTCCGACCTATTCAGTTGCATGCAGGGCTGAGCTTTTTCTGCTATGTTTTTAGCTGGAGCTAGCCCTCAGTCACAACCGGACGCCCGAAGGCAAGCGAAATCGATGTATAGGACCTGATGCCAAATGATGTATAGGATGCAAGTAGGACACCAACACTTAGTCAAACTCATGTGTCATTTGCATCCAGGACTCAGTTCCATACCGTTTGATTGGTTGCCGATTAAATCAGAAGGGCATGCCCTAACGGCTATGCGTATGCAGTAACAAGGAAGCGCAAGTCAGTTCGCAATACTGCATGGCCGGGCTAATTGTGGAAGAAGGAAAAATAGGACACCAACACGTAGCCAAGCTCATGTATCGTTCGCATCAAGGAATCTCAAGTCAGTTCGGAATATTGCAAACGAAGGATGGAACTTCAATGTCTCTCAAGTAGCTGCATGCAGGGCTGAATCTTGCCTGTTGCTTCCCCAGCTGGAGCCATCTCTCCTCACTACCTGGTAGGACAGAACACCGGAAGGGTATCCTCGGGAAACTACCTGCCAATACCAGTAGTACC